CATTAAAACCCAGCAGGTATCTGTCAATCAGTAGCAGCAGGCCTCTCTCCTAAAGAACAGGAATGTCGTATTTTGCTCCAAGCTTTCTTTGTGGAAATTTTATGGGTTTGACTTTTTGGGTTTTTTCTTCTTAAAATCTGAATAGGAGAACAGGGAATTTCAGAGCTAATCCAAAGCACAGACCAATTCATCACCAAACCCAATGCAACAACTGAAGGGATTCAGATGCAGTCCTCTGACTTCTCCAGCTCTCTCTCTTTCTGGAATGTTATTGCCATTAAAATGGCAGTTAAAAGGTTTTGCACAGCAACTCATATTTAACTGCATGGAACAGCACAAATGCTGGCGAAAAATTATAGGCAGCAACATCTGATTCACACTGAAGACCATCCTTCCTCCCTGTACATCCTTAGCAAAAGCTCCCTATATCCACCAGTATTAATGGCCTTGTAGCTGTGAAACATCTGTGGTGGTTAAGCAATGTGAGCTGACAGGGAGAGCCTAGTGCTGTTACTGTAATTATTGATAGCACACTCAAGAGCACGTTTATTTTTTGCAGCTGTATCAATTGCTGGAGCAGTTGGTATTACCTTTTTCCATAGTTTTTGTCTGCAGGATGCTTTTCTCTGGATTCTGACAGACCAGCACCTGCAGATATATTTACCACTACAGAAATTATGCTGGATTCTCAACTCCTCTTTTTCCCCTAGCACCATTAACTCGAGTAGCTGGGGGAGCAGCTGAGGGTCTGCTCCAATATTTTTTGTGCCCCGCAGCACATGTACAACACCTTTGCCACAAAAGCAAGCAAGCAACACACATTGAGCAGAATGACCAAGAAGCCAGATCTATCAGTTTCATGATGACTCAAGGACAGCAACCTAAACCCAGATAGTTCTAGTATAAACCTATTTGCAAAGAGAGATTGCACCATGTGCGAAGATCTTGGCCATCATTTGCAGCCAGCTGGGCCGGCAGGGCCTCTTCCCGCACTGGTTCAAGTCAGCAGCCAAATTTCCATTGCCCTTGCTGGAAACACCTGCAGAGCACAGCAGCTGTGCCAATCTGCCAGGGGCAGTAAGGCAGCAATAGCAGCCCTATGTGAAACCACAGCAGGGAATCTGATGTGCATGAAACACAAACACCCATGCTGGGATCTGGCCAGCACGGAAAGGGAACAGATGAGAGGTGTCAGCAGCAGGGCTGGCAGGGTAAGAGCTATCTCCAAACTGAAATGTTGAAGATCAAATGCTAAAACTAGTGCAAGTGGTGTGGCTGGACTGGAGTAACCGCATTATCTGGGATTCTTGAGATCGCAACGGTCCTTTCTTCTTTGCCCGTGTACTGTCACCTTAAGCACATCCCTTCTCCTTGCTCTTTGTGCTTCCTTGAACACGTCTACACTGGAGAATGAATCAAATGACGTCACTGCAGCAAACCACCCCTTTGGCAGACAAACGAACAGGTGGAAAACACGCACAAAGGCACAGGTCTTCCTGGTAGAGGGAGTAAAGCAGCAAAGAACCAACCGAGCCAGGAGGCCTTCAAGAGCCAAGTGGTTGTGTGCAGGTTTGTTGCTATGTTGCTGACTGACATCAGGTTCTTTGGGGTCAGAGAGATCTGTTTCATTTTAAAGTGAAAACAACTCCAGGGATCTTACTAGCACCATTGGGAAAGACTGAAAGGAACTGGAGTATGGGGGGGGTGTGTGATAACGGGGAGGGAAACGGGACAGAAGCACTGTCAAGCTGCATTTAAACTGTCAGGGGAAGGAGCCTGGGAGCACTCTGCCCTGTTGGGACAGTCTTGCTGCCCCCGGGAAGTGCTGCCCCCTTCCCCTGTCCACAGGGCGAGTGGCTGGAGTGAGGGGGCAATGCCCAGGAAAGCAGCTACCCAAAAGCTCAACCCAAGGCACCTACTCACCCACCTGGAGGAGTTTTCTCCCCTCCTCCTCCTCCCTGTGCTCTCACTCTTCCTGGGGTCTGTCCTCCTCTCTGCCATCACTGGCTGGACACTGTTTTTAGGGGGCAGCAGCTCTGGCCAAATTTGTGCCTCTACAACTGGTAGCAGAAAACATGGCACCCGTGGCTGTTTGCAGTGGTGGGAGGCGCTCTGGTGTTACAGAGCCATCCCGCTCTGCAGTGCTGAGGACTGGTTTGACACAGGAGCCTGGCAGCCTTACACATTTTAAGCTGATCACTCCTTGAAAGCTGCTTCCATCTTTCTGAAGGCTCCATTGCAAGAAAGGGGTGCAGCAGTCTGTGAAAGAGCAGTTTAGTGGATCCAGAACATGGGTAGATTCCCCTCTATTAGGCTGAGAAAAGTCACAAAAGCAAAGCAAAGCCACAAAAAAAGCAAAGAACCCACAAAAACATGAGGAAAAAAAAATCCAACTTAGTTAATTTGAAGCAACACACCTTAGTTATAACTGTAAATCAGCTTAAGAAATTCAAACAGACATGTTAGGGCCCCTGTGCTATTGCTATTACCTCACCAGAGGTAATACTCGTTATTACAATTTCTTCCGTGTAGCGTCACAAAATGCCAAACAGGACTGTGCTTCTTTCAAGTACAGCCTGTTCAAAGTAATCAGTGAGTCTTGCTTGGAACACCTGGCAAAGGACAGAGATGCATCCATCTCCCTGTATCCTGAAGAAATCGAGGAGAGACGTTTATCAAGGAAATGTGTAATACAAACGGTTTGGCTTTCAGCAAACTTGGAAATACATACAGCAGGTTCCAGTGCAGGTTTGTAAAAAAAATAATTAGCAGTGAGTGGGAAAAGGAGTGATGAGTGTTATTCTCTGTGCTGCAGTCTTGTTTAACTTAATAAAAGTGATTGAACTATAAGATCCCAGTGAAATACCTCCTAAAATTAAGTGTTTCTTCAGAAATGGAGCTGGAGCTGTTCATTTCACAGTAGGAAAGATCAGATATTCTCAACTCTATCATGTTTTGCATCCTGACACCAGACATCTGACAAGATTGTCAGAATCCACATAACATTTAGCTTGTTTTGTTATTAAAAATCAATGGGATTTTGGAGCCAAATTTATCCAGCTGAGCTCTGCTCTGCTTCCGTAAGCACCCAAAATATGAAAATCTGTCACAAAATAATTAGGTTTATTCTAAATTTTAATGCAAATCTAACAATAAGTTTGGAGAATACAAAACTCAGAATTTTTCCAGAAGGTTTCTTTGACTTGCAACCCCCCCAAGCGAGCTGTGAAACAAAGCAAAAACTACATCAAAGCAGTGGTCCTCGCAACCCTGGTAAGGACTACCATGTAACTATCTTCTCCAAACCAAGCATCTCTCCAAGCCAGATACATCATTCAAGAACAGAACATTTAAAATTGCAGACAGTAAAGCATAGCTTTAACGACTGACAACCTGTCCAGAGAGGGACCAGAAGCTCTGTGTGACAGCAGCATGCTCCCCACCAACGGTTTGACAGTTGGAGCTCAGTCCTATATCCCTCGTGCGGATGTTTTCCTTGGGATTCACTCCTGGTTTCCACAAGCACAAAGCAAAGGAGAATTAGGCCTGCCAAATGCATAGTGATGCATTAGACCTAGAGCACTTTAAATTCTGCAAGCAGCAGCGATCAAAACCAACTGCTGGGAATTAGTCCTTCAGGTCACCTCTTAATGTCATATGTCAAAGTGATAGTCATCAAAACCCAAACTGGGCAGCCAGTGCCTTAGGCCAGTTCCCACTGAAGACACTGGTGATCTTGCCAACTAAAACCAGAGCAAGAAAGTTCTGGGTATAAAACAGCAGCAAAGCTTGTTAGAGGAAGCAAACCTTTGCTGTAACCAGCTGACGCCAGACAATCCCTACTGGAGAGCAGCCGCGTACATGGCTCAAACATCTCACAGAAGATTTTTCCTCATCCATCAACACACCAGAAAAGTAAGCACGAGGTCTTGTGCAGTGCTAACAAAGATAACAGAGCAATGAGCATTGGCTTCCTCTCTGTGAAAGCTCTGGGCTCAGACCCTATGGTAGCAGAAATCAGCAGGGGCTAATGGGTAGGGAGAGAGCTGGAGAAAGCAGCATTGCTCCCACAGAATCAACTAAGTGACCCACAGTCTTGGGCATGCTGGTACTGGGTACTCTGCATCTTACATCAGGCAGCTAGCTACCAGGGCAGCTGGCACCAACTCTGCAGCTTCCCTGTGGACACCTCTGCAGAGTTCTCACTCATGAATCTATTTCAGGTTGCTCTTAAACCACCTCATACAGACAGGAAAAAATCCCCAGTCTGCTCAGCTGGTGCATTTGAAGCGTTAGAAAGATCACAAAGGTGATAAAGCTTTTTTTTTTTAAATCTTTTTTTTTTCTCTCCCCTGTTAAAAAACATAACCTGCTCAGAAGCTGTATGTCTGCTCTCTCTCAGGCACACACATGCTTTTTCTGTCAAAAACGTTCACCCGCATTGCAATCGTGATCCGTAGGATCATATGTCTGTAGTTAAACACAGTTAAACAGAGCTATCGGGCACCCCCGCAGAGGCACGGGTGTTACAGTCTCAGTCAGGTACAGAACAAATCTGAAGTTTCTTCCCTAGGTCTGGGGCATACTGTGCCAACCTTGTTCGATCAGTCCATTATATTTGACAGCACTTGGGCATCCCTGACTACAGCGAGGGGGAGTGTGGGCTGGGCCGCTCTTCAGCTGGGGTAGGGATGTAGGTCAATTTAAAAGCCTGGTAGGTATAAATCATCATGTTTGATGTCCCAGCAACAGACTCTGTATCCATTCCCTCACCCATCCTGATTAGTCAACACATCCCAAGCAGTTACAGGGGGACCACAGATGCTCCTTATGCAGTGCTGTCCTGCAGAGGCCAAGGTGGCAAGGTCTGCTCCAGACGAACCCCTCCACAGAATACATGGTGTTGAAGGTGGTGCTAAGAGAACAGTGGCTTTCCAAGAAAGTCACCCCTGTCCGGAGTGAAAGCAAAACTGCAATGACAGAACAAACCAGCATCTTGCTCACTTCTCATGCGACACGTCAGGGCTACGTTCTGTCTGTGTTTGTTTCAAGAGGAATTGCAGGACGTCATCTGAGAGTCCAGGTGTTCTCTTTCTGTCTCCCAACACGATTTCTCCTTCAGCTGGTTTTGAAAAGCAAACAGTCGTGGGGTGGTTTGGAAAGATCTTATACCCGTCTCTGTTCAAGACCACCTGGGCCATTTGCAGACAACGCAACGCATATTTTGTTCCACCCCACTTTGCTAGCTCTGAAATCTTCTGCGACAGACTGCGTGATGCAGCCTCATAGGTGGGATCCATTCTGTCTGGCCGGTTTTTGCAATACATTTTGTAGAAATCTTCAAGAGATTTCCTGATGCTGGTATCTTCTGCACCATCATGTTCATACATCCACGAGAGCGCAGCATCGTTAGGTTCAGTGGGCTCACCCAGCCCTGCTTTTGGATAACATCTCACGTTTGATTTCTCAGAGCCTCCAGCAGAAAAGCTCACAGGAACTGCAGAGGGTAGATTGTTCTCTCCTGCAAGCACAAGATCAATGAAACTCATTAGACAACAGGTCATGCCTGTGGCGAAATGTGTTTCTGTCCCCCCTTCACTGCAGTCTGGCAAGCAGACTCTGTGCAGAACTGAGCTAAGTACTGCTTTAAACCAGCCCCTGCCAGAGGGGCTTGCCGCGCAGATTCATACAAGATGGGCTATATTTGGGGATCTCACCAGATTGTCCCAGTCTCAACCCTCTGCAGTGACTTTGAACCTACTCACTGGTACAGACCTCCTGTCTCCTCTCAGTCACACTTCCAAAGAGGTGGAAATCGAGCTCTGGTGCTGCTGGAGATGACAGATGACCCCCAGAGAAGTCTAGTTTGCAGCTGAAGCAGTTCTGCCTCTGTTTCAGTTTTCTCCCTTCATCCCCAGGTCTAATCCTTCCCTTTTCGTAGTTCTCAGTTTTACTCCTACAGCACAACGTGCAGTCCTGTCCTCCAGCTTTCAGCCAGATCTAGAGCCTGCAAACCAATGCTGTTATGGTGACTGCACAGAGTTTGGGAATGGCGCCTGCAAAAGGGCATCTTGTGCTTCCTCACGAAGTCCCATTTTTTTGCAGCCCAGCTGCACAAAACACTCTCCTCACATTCTGCAGGAATTTTTACAGATAACACATACGTAAAGGCTGAGGACTCATCTGGCCTAGCTCTTCTCCTCCTTCCTTGCTTGCTGACCCACATCTCTCCACGACAGCCAGGGCTGTGGCTCTCTTCTGCTCCAATGCAATCAAGGGGGATGCTTTGTACTTGCACATAATTAATACAGCATCAACACAGAGACACTTGGCAATGATGTGACCAGGATGATCAGCAAGCCACACATGGCTTCTAGTAGGAAGAGCCCCCATCAAGAGATCTTGAATTGGGCTCTGTTACCCAGGGAGTGCCTCTTAACTGCAATCTCATCTCCAAGCCTGCCGCACCAGCCTGTTCGCCAAGCACCCGAGTCACCAACGAGAAAATTTTCCAGGGCTCGGCCAGAGGTTGCACAGCCGTCGTCTGCAACTTACATAAAAGCAGGGCACAGGGAGTCAGAAATAGGTTGGTCTTTTCTAATTCTGTGAAATATGAAGCAGAGTGCAGTCCTTCATTTCGGTAAGAGACCACGTTCAAAGGCAATCTCAGTGTGGTGGCAGAAGGCTGTTCTTTCCCTCCCAGTAGACAAAGAGCTACCTTTCCCTTCCTGAGTGGTCAGAGATTCATTAAAATAAAATTAACATGTCTGTGCAGCCATTCTTCCTCCCCCTGCTTTCTATCTTTGATCTTTCTTTTCAATTTCACTTCATCTCCGATTCTGCAATTTTAAAGAGAACTTTTCCTCCTCTTGCAATGTACCATTTCTAATACAGTACAAAGAAAAGCTTAGCGGACTTTTAACATTGATATATGGCATCAGAGTAGCAAACCAGAGCTAATCAAAGAGAACAGGTCCATTTTGCCTCAATGGTCTCTCAGCCTTGGTGCCTATATTAAGTTAGAACTGAAGCCTCATGCGTCTCTGACAATTCAATCAAGTGTCACTTGCACTCAGACTCCTGTGGCAATTGCAAACCCCTGTGCCATGCCGTCAGCTTGCTACTTCTCACATACAGCTCAAAGCCATATTTTGGTAAAAGAGCAGCAGCTGCCTCTAGCTACAAATCTCAACCCCACACGATCCAAGAAGAGCAAAATTCTGTTTCATGGTGTCTGGGGAGACCTTCACAATGCTGTTCTGCCCTTCTCCCATGATCTTAGATTGGACATTAGGAAAAATTTCTCCACTGAAAGGGTTGTCAAGCACTGGAACAGGCTGCCGAGGGAAGTGGTTGAGTCATTGAGTCACCATCCCTGGAGGTACTTAAAAGCTGTGTAGATACGACACTTACAGACATAGTTTAGTGGTGGAGTTGGCAGTGCTAGGCTTATGGTTGAACTCGATGATCTTAAAGGTCTTTTACAACCTAAATTAGTCTAGTTTAGTCCATTCTAAGCCAGTATGACTTACAAAGCAGCCATCCTCTGTTGAAGCACAATCCATCAAAGAAGTGACTGGCAAGTATTTCAGGGGTACATTTTGGGGTTTGATTAGTCAGAAAGTACTCAATTTTATTAGTGGGAGAACAGTTTTCATCCAGTTACTGATTGAAATTTATGTATCTCTGTTTTTCAACAGCAGGCCCTATCCTCTTGGTGGGTTACTTTTCCAGCAAAGCCTTCTTAAGGCAAGACATGAAAGGTTAGACACTGAATTTCTAGAACCAATCTATATCCCACAAAGTTGCACCTTTCCTCAGCTTCCCTGACAATTTTCCAATACCTCCTCAAACTATGTGCTAAGACTGATCTTTGCAAATACACTCAACCCTTTTCCTCCCTAAAAGATACCAGTTGAGGCAGAGGTCCTTCCTCAACACCCTCTAAAGAGCTAATACTGGTGTTGTAACGCACAAATCTCCTGAATGATTTATAAACCACAGGGCAAAGACCAGTAGCTGGATGCCTGCAGGGTCCAGAAAGAGCTTCTCAGCTGGGCCACACTTACAGCACACAACCACGCCATGTAGGCCAGCATAAAGGCAAAGGCAGTATTAAACTAATCAATCCCCTTCCCTGTACATGCACCTGCAACCCTCGAGAAAGCTGGGATTCCCTGATAACACACTGAAGAGCTGCTTCAAAACTTAGACCTCTCTGGCCAGCTCTCAGGAGCAGCAAAAACGTAGTTTTGTGAACTCTTTATCCTTCCATGGCAAACTTAACACCACAGCTGTCACATACCCTTGCGTTGGCTTGGCTCAACACCTACAGAAGTCAATGCAAAGATAAGCAGGGCTGAAAACTCACACTCTGTTCACCTGCAATGGAGTTTCATCACCAGAGAATCTGGCTCAAATTCTTTTTTGCTATTTTCACTCATTTATACCACCAAGTATGCGTTAAAAGGAAAACCAAAACCAAAACCAAATGAACAACAAAGAGCCTTAAAACCCTGAAATGGGTCATTCCTCATGTCTTGATTTCATTTTCACACGACAGATAATTATCAGTAAGAATGTATATTATTTCATCTGCACCTCCACTCCACGCTAATTGAAGTTCAGCATTTGCAGCTTATTAGTAAGAGACCTGGGGGCTGATAAAAGGATATTCTTTGTGTTTATAAACCTGCTGATGAAAATTTAAAGTCTCCATCTGGTACAAGCACATAACCCTACCGCCCGAAGCACACAACCAAATCCTGCTTTGGACTTGGGCCACTTTCAGTGAGGCAAGCACTCTGTACTATTATTATTTGCACTTCTACAAAAGCAGCTCACGTAGTGGTTTGAGTCTCCATACAACAGTCAGAGTGTAAAACAAGACATCCTTCGAACAGCAGAGCTCCTGCACTGCTGGCTTTCTGGGGAAAGAAATCTCCCCCAACTCAGGCAGGCAGCAATCCCTGCAGCTGCTGGTGCTCCACTAGAGCTGGTGTTGCTGTGATCTCTGTCTCTGTCCTTTGCAGGGTCTTAGCTGGACGCCAGCAGCTGCTAATTCTCTAATTACACCTGTAGCTGGATTTGTCCAAGCCTTCTGCCCTCTCCCACATCGTCTGCCTCCCAGAAACTCTGTGTGGGGGATGTGTGGTTCCCCTCCTGCACAGCATGCAAAGGCCCATCCAGTTCTGAGGATCTGAGAGAGTGATACTGAGAGCTAAACCGCAGTGTTTTGTCATCAGCAGTTCTGTGAAAAGGGTAATTACATTGCTTGTTTTAGGGCAGGAAATACTAACCCTAGGGCTTAGGAATGACTCATCCCTGGCACAGCTAGAGCTTGAGCCCAAGCACACCAAAACGAATGCCAATCCCACACCCACCCCAGAGTTGCTCCGGTGCTGTCAGGTGTTAGGCACTACCAGAGCAGCCACATTCAACAAGCACAGTAAGCCCCATTTCTAAATGGTTCAAGCCCTTGACCCCTTTCGGCCGTTTGACTGACCACATACTGCACATAACTTGGAGCAAGGGCTACATTTCTCCATGTGCCTCTATTGTGCCACCCTAAACAAGGACCAAAAGAACTATGAGACTGATAAAAGCAAAAACAGAACTAAATTAATCTGGAGTTCAACCAGATGTTGGTTAGATGATGCTAGAGCACATCTCTACGTTGTAAAGTCAACAATAGGACTGTTATCCAGAGTACCTCAGAGTGACAGAGATTATTTAGGTACTCAGCTCTGAGACGGTGTACTGAAAAAACACGTCTGCTTCCCGCTACAGCCATCCTGCCATCTGTGAAGGCCCAAAGAAACCATTAGCCTGAGTTTGTCTGAAGAAATGTCCCTGAACAAAGATTACCAGAGAGCTGAGCAACGCAACAGTGGAAAGGAAAAACAAAGGTAAGGAGAGAGCTAGATGAGGGAGCACCTCTTTCCTTGGGTGAGACTATGCCAAAATTCACCAATACTTTACCTGCAGTCCCTGGGAGCAGATGGGGATGAACATAAGTGAATACAGCTTTTTTTCAGAATAGCTGAAGAACAGAAGCAGGAGACATGTTCTAGCTGGGGAGACAAACTCCAGCTATAGACTCCTGTGTCAGAGCTTAAAATACTGCTTGCCTGAGGCACCACCACGATCTTATGCCAAGTTCAAGATCTGCAAGAGACCACAGATCCTGCCTCTTGGCACACTGCAGTTAATTGGCATTCCCAAACTTCTCCTCAGAGAGGAAGATGGAAGAGTCTCCTCTGTCAGTCACAAAATCAGCCACTTCTTGCCTTGGACACTGCCACCTGTACCTCAGTGTGCTTGTTCTACCCACATGAGTCTTCTCACTTGTTAAAGTCAACACATTCTTGACATCCATGGGCAATGATGAGTCATGCAAGAAGGACAAGTCACCAGTTGTTTTGGTTGATGGTACCCATCAAAAACAAAAGGCCACTCAGAAGTTCTCACAAATTGTATTATTTCTCTTTTCCCATCAACCTGCCAGGATGTACCTGGGGT